TTCCCAAAGCCTCCGAAACTCATCTTTTTTCCGTTGTAGAATCATCGCCAATTCCCAAAATCCTCCCCAACTCCTCCTTTTTCTTTTGTAGAATCCTCGACGATTCCCAAATCCTCCCCAACTCCTCCTTTTTCCTTTGTAGAATCCTCCACGATTCCCAAATCCTCCCCAACTCCTCCTTTTTCCTCTGTAGAATCCTCCCCAATTCCAAAATCCTCTCCAACTCATCCTTTTTCCTTTGTAGAACCCTCACCAATTCCCAAATCCTCCCCAACTCCTCCTTTTTCCTCTGTAGAATCCTCACCAATTTCCCAATCTTCCCCAACTCCTACTTCTTCCTTTGTAGAGCCCTCCCCAATTGTCAAATCCTCCCCAACTCCCCCTTCTCCTTTGTAGAATCCTCCCCAATTCCCAAATCCTCATCAACTCCTCCTTTTTTTCTTTTGTAGAATCCTCCACAATTCCCAAATCATCCCCAACTCCTCCTCTTTCTTTTGTAGAATCCTCACCAATTCCCAAATCCTCCCCAACTCTTCTATTTTCCTTTGTAGAACCCTCCCCAATTCCAAAATCCCCCCCCAACTCCTCCTTTTTGCTGTGTAGAGTCCTCACCAATTCCCAAATCCTCCCCAACTCCCTCTTTTTCCTTTGTAGAATCCTCCACAATTCCCAAATCCTCCCTAACTCATCCTTTTTTCCTTTGTGGAACCCCACCCAATTCCCAAATCCTCCCCAACTCCTCCTTTTTCCTTTGTAGAATCCTCCCCAATTCCCAAATCCTCACCAACTCCTCCTTTTTCCTTTTGTAGAATCCTCGCCAATCCCCAAATCCTCCCCAACTCCTCATTCTTCCTGTTGTAGAATCCTCCCCAATTCACAAATCCTCCCCAACCCCTCCTTTTTTGCTTTGTGGAATCCTTTCCAATTCCCAAATCCTCACCAACTCCTCCTTTTTCCTTTGTAGAATCCCCCCCCCCCCCCAATTCCCACGCACTCCCCAACTCCTCCTTTTCCTTTGTAGAATCCTCCCCAATGCCCAAAACCCTCCCCAACTCTTCCTTTTTCCATTGTAGAATCCTCCCCAATTCCCGAATCCTCCTCAACTCCTCTCTTTTTTTCCTTTTGTAGAACCCTCCCCAATTCCCCAATCCTCCCCAACTCATCTTTCTTTTTCCTTTGTAGAATCCTCCACAATTCCCAAATCCTCTCCAACTCCTCCTTTTTCCTTTGAAGAATCCTCCCAACATTCCCAAATCCTCCCCAACTCCTCCTTGTTCCTTTGTAGAATCCTCCCCAATTCCCAAATCCTCTCCAACTCTTCCTTTTTCCTTTTGTAGAACCCTCCCCAATTCCCAAACCCCCCCCAACTCCTCATATTTCATTTGTTGAATCCTCCCCAATTCCCGAATCCTCCCCAACTCCTCCTTTTTCCTCTGTAGAATCCTCCCCAGTTCCCAAATCCTCTCCAACTCCTCCTTTTTCCTTTGTAGAATCCTCCGCCAGTCCAAAATCCTCCTCAACTCATCCTTCTTCCTTTGTAGAATCCTCACCTATTCCCCAAATCCTCCCCAACTCCTCCGTTTTCCTTTGTAGAATCCTCCCCAATTCCGAAATCCTCCCCAAACTCCTCCTTTTTCCTTTGTAGAATCCTCCCCGATTCCCAGATCCTCCCCAACTCCTCCTTTTTCCTGTGTAGAATCCTCCACAATTCCCAAATCCTCTCCAATTCCTCCTTTTTCCTTTGTAGGACCCTCCTCAATTCTCAAATCCGCCCCAACTATTCCTTTTTCCCGTGTATAAGCCTCCCCAATTCCCAAAATCCTCCCCAACTCCTCCTTTTTCCTGTGTAGAATCCTCACCCATTCCCAAATCTCCCCCAACTCCTCCTTTTTCCTTTGTAGAACCCTCACCAATTCCCAAATCCTCCCCAACTCCCCTTTCTCCTTTGTAGAATCCTCCACAAATTCTCAAATCCTCCCCAACTCATCGTTTTTCCTTTGTAGAATCCTCCGCAATTCCCAAATCCTCCCCAACTCCCCCTTTTTCCTTTGTAGAATCCTCCCCAATTCCCAAATCCTCCCCAACTATTCCTTTTTCCGTTTGTAGAATCCTCCCCAATTCCCAAATCCTCCCCAACTCATCATTGCTCCTGTGTAGAATCCTCACCAATTCCCAAATCCCCCCCCAACTCCCTCTTTTTCCTTTTGTAGAATCCCCCACAATTCCAAAATCCTCAATTTTCCTTTGTAGAATTCCCCCCAATTCCCAAAATGCCACCCAACTCCTCCTTTTTCGTTTGTAGAATCCTCTCCAATTCCCAAATCCTCCCGATCACATCCGTTTTCCTTTGTAAAATCCTCCCCAATTCCCAGATCCGCCCCAACTCTTCCTTTTTCCTCCGTAGCATCCTCCCCAATTCCCAAATCCTCCCCAACTCCTCCATTCTCCTCTGTAGAATCCTCCCCAATTCCCAAATCCTCCCCAACTCTTCCTTCTTCCTTTGTAGAATCCTCCTCAATTCACAAATCCTCCCCAACTCTTCTTTTTTCATGTGTAGAATCCTTCCCAATTCCCAAATCCTCCCCAACACCTTTTTTTTCCTTGTTGTAGAATCCTCCCCAAAGACCCAGATCCTCCCCAACACCTCCTTTTTTTTCTGTTCGTAGAATCCTCCCAAATTCCCACATCCTCACCAACTCTTCCTTTTTCCGTGGTAGAACTCACCTCAATTCCCAAATCCTCCCCAACTCATCCTTTTTCCTTTGTAGAATCCTCCCAATTCCCAAATCCTCCCCAGCTCCTCCTTTTTCGTTTGTAGAACCCGCCCCAATTCCAAAATCATCATCAACTCCTCTTTTTTCCTTTGCAGGATCCTCCCCAATTCCCAAATCTTCCCCAACTCATCTTTTCTCCTCTGTGTAATCCTCCCCAATTCCAAAATCCTCCCCAACTCCTCTTCTTCTCCTGTGTGGAATCCTCACCAGTTCCCAAATCCTCCCCAAATCATCATTTTTCCTTTTGTAGAATCCTCACCATTTCCCGAATCCTCCCCAACTCATCCTTTTTCCTTTGTAGAACCCTCCCCAATTCCTAGATCCCTTCCAAATCCTATTTTCTCATTTGTAGAATCCTCCACAATTCCAAAATTCTCCCCAACTCCTCCTTTTTCCTTTGTAGAATCCTCACCAATTCCAGAATCCTCCCCAACTTCCCCTTTTCCTCTGTAAAATCCTCCCCAATTCCCAGATCCGCCCCAACTCCTCCTTTTTCCTTCGTAGCATCCTCCCCAATTCCCAAATCCTCCCCAACTCTTCCTTTTTTTCCTTTGAAGAATCCTCCACCATTCCTAAATCCTCCCCAACTCCTCCTTTTTCCTCTGTAGAATCCTCCTCAATTCCGAAATCCTCCCCGACTCCTCCTTTTCCCTTTGTAGAATCCTCACCAATTCCCAAATCCTCCCCAACTTGTCCTTTTTCCTTTGTAGAATCCTCCCCAATTCCAAACTCCTCCCCAACTCCTCCTTTTTTTTCCTTTGTAGAATCCTCACCAATGCCAAAAAAATCCGCCCCAACTCTTCCTTTTTCCTTTGTAGAATCCTCCCCAATTCCAAAAACTCTCCCCAACTCCCTCTTTTTCCTTTTGTAGAATCCTCCCCAATTCCCAAATCCTCCCAAACTCCCTCTTTTTCCTTGGTCGAATCCTCACCCAATTTCCAAATCCTCCCCAACTCCTTCTTTTTCCTTTGTAGAATCCTCCCCAATTCCAAACTCCCCCCCAACTCCTCCTTTTTCCTTTGTAGAACCCTCCCAAATTCCCAAATCCTCCCCAACTCCTCCTGTTTCCTTTGTAGAATCCTTCCCAATTCCCAAATCCTCCCCAACTCCTCCATTCTCCTTTGTAGAATCCTTCCAAATTCCCAAATCCTCTCCAACTCCTCTTTTTTCTTTTGTAGAATCCTCCCCAATTCCCAAATCCTCCCCAACTCCTCCTTTTTCCTTTTGTAGAATCCCCAATCCATTCCCAAATCCTCCCCAACTCCTCCTTTTTCCTCTGTAGAATCCTCCCCAATTCCCAAATCTTTCCCAACTCCTCCTTTTTCCTTTGTAGAACCCTCCCCAATCCCCAAATCCTCCCAAATTCCCCTTTCTCCTTTGTGGAATCCTCCCCAATTCCCAAATCCTCCCCAACTCCTCCTTTTTCCTTTGTAGAAGCCTCCCCAAATCCCAAATCCTCCCCAACTCCTCCTTTTCTTTTGTTGAATCCTCCCCAATTCCCAAATCCTCCCCAACTCCTCCTTTTTCCTTTGTAGAATCCTCCCCAATTCCCAAATCCTCCCCAACTCCTCCTTTTTCCTGTGAAGAATCCCCCCCAAGTCCCAAATCCTCCCCAACTCCCTCCTTTTCCTTTGTAGAATCCTCCCCAATTCCCAAAATTCTCCCCAACTCTTCCTTTATCCTTTGTAGAATCCTCCCCAATTCCCAAATCCTCCCCAACTCTTCCTTTTTCCTTTGTAGAATCCCCCCCCAATTCCCAAATCCTCCCCAACTCCCTCTTTTTCCTTTGTAGAATCCTCCCCAATTACCAAATCTTCCCCAACTCCTGCTCATAATTTCTGTAGAATCCCAATCGTGAAATCCCCCCCCAACCCCGCTGACGTCATTACAGGGCGCAAAAATAATTATCGAAACGATTTTTCCGGTAATGTAAAGTTTTTTGCCCCTGCAGTACGGATACGTGTTGTCCCCGGACCTCTCCTGGGGTGCGTTCTGACCAGAATTTCGAGGCGAATCCAGCGGTGACAACGAGGGTTCCCCAGGAGGACCAGGAAAGGCCGAAAACGACGGGGGACAACACGTATCCGTATCTTTTTCTCCCCCGAACTACCATGACCTCTTGCTCCTCTGAACAACACACCTTTCTTCCGACAGCCGCGCATGCAGCGAAGGCCGGAGAGCCGCAGACGCCGGCGACAGTGGGCAGCCACCGTCCGCGGCGGCCCCTCACCCGTAGGCTCGGATCATGCGCGTGCGGCGGTCGCTCTTGCCCGCGACGGGGGCCAGCTCCTCGGCAGGCGAGGCGACGACGCGCGCTCGCCAGCTGAGTTTCGGCACCGGGCGGAAGGGTCGTTGGGCGTGGCTTAACGGGGGAGTCACAAATGGGGGGGTCAGAAACGGTCCCCTTTCGTGCCCCTTTCGGGCCCCTCCGGAGCCCCGGGGGGCTCGTTTAGGTACCGTTTGGGTACCTTTTCGGACCACCCTCGCCGCCCCCCCATGTATGACCCCCCCATTACGCGGCGCCCAAGGTCGGGAAGGGGGCGGGGTTCGGGGTCTGGGCCAGTGCTTCGTCGATCTGCTCTTACACCAGTCGCGCAGGCAGACTGGGGGGGAGGGATCCTGCCCAGCCGCCACGAGCCGCCGCCCAAAGCAGCCAAGATCTGGTCTGAAGCCGGGCGTGTGCCCCTGCAGGCGGATTTAGGGTGGAAGAGAAAATACGGACAAACAAAATTACAAAACATAGTCAAAAGATGCTCCAAAAATCGTCCCAGACTACTTTTGGACTACTCTCGCATATTCCTCCTGTAGAGGGACAGGCCCGACTTAAATCTGGTCTTTGAGGAGCAGGGCTGAACCTAAACGGTGTTGTTCGTTTCGTTTTGTTTTCGTTTTCCCTCGCTTTTTGCCTTCAATCCACCTCTTTTTTTTCCGCGCAACTATTTTGGAGAGGGGGAGGAAGGGCAGAGGAGAGGACGCGAACCATCGATGAACAATCCGCCATTCGTCTCACTCGGTGCTGCCTGCGACCACCGCCGGAAACACGCACAAGCCGAAGTGAAACCTGCGGAAACGGCTGATTGTAAAAGTAGATTCCCGCGTCCGTCGCGGGGATGCCTCGATGAAGTGGCAGCTAAAATGTAAACTCGCGCGTGCGTACCCCATGCCGGACCATGCTGGCGGGACTCGCACTGATGCCCAACGCAAGTGGGGAGGAAGGCGAGGACGAGGAAGAGGGGAGAAGCCAGCGGGCTTTTGTAAACTAGCACTCGTGCGTGCGTATACCGGTATCTACGGCCAGTGCCGGAGAAGGAAGGTACCCGCACATAGGGCACACACGAGCGGAAAGCAAATGAGCCGGAGCAAACCCTCATACCTAGGCAGAGGAGCTACGCCAAGTGTGCGAGCGAACAATGCTGCAGGCAAGTTGAAACTTCATATCTGCTCAAGGGGTGGAAGAACTGCGCCGGCTCGATGGGGCAGCAGCCCGAACCCGCAGGAGGCCAACCGCGAAATTCCGGACAAGACGGGGCGAAGCGCCCGGCAAGCGCACTTGGCGGAACGCCAGCGCCGCCAGCGCAGAAGCGGCGGGCCCGCGGGCAGATGGCGCGCGCAATCAGGAGAAGTAGCTCTTCCAGCGCAGCGCGACCTGGGAAGCTCAAACAAACATCATGCAAGACATCCTGCAAACCTCAACTGCGTAGAATCATCAGCACCAAGCACGGAGGAGGAGGCAGGAGGAGGAGGAGGAGGGAAAAAGAAGATAGAGCAAGCAACTGACTGCGCACACGGCGCCCTCCGACGCACATGTCGTCCAGAAATGGGGCTCCAGCATCCGTGGGTGAGAGAGGACGAGACCGGAAGAGGCGGCGGAGAGCCGGCCCGCCCAGAGCGGGGCTAGCCGGCGCTCCCCCACCGGGAGGCAAGAGCGGGAGGAGAGAGACGAGGGGGAAGGGCAGCTCGAATCGGCTGCTCGGCGCAGCATGTCCTCCCTTCCATCGGCCACGCGGTCGGGACAGGGGGCCCGATGCCTCACACCACGTCGCGTCGAGCCGGCCGAGTAAACGTCACCATATTCTGGGTGCGCATGTCGGCCTTCACCGGCTGTTCTCTTATGAATTGACTACATATGAATCCAATTGGGTCCCAGGGGCGAGCGAGGACGAGGGGGAGGAGGGCGAAGGGCGAGGTCAAGCAACCGACGGGGCGGAAACTTGCCGAGCTGGCACAGAGAGAGGCCGTGCCTCCGAGGATGGCGCTGGAGCAGGGGCAGACGCACCCGGCACCCGGCACCACCAACGCAGCGGAGGCCAAGCCTCAGAGAGGGGGCAGTGCAGGCATGTCCCGCGCACGCGCCCTTAAAAGCGTACGCAGGAGGAGGAGGAGGAGCAGCTCCGACGCTCGGCGTCGAGCTGCTCCTCCTCCTCCTCCTGCCTCCTCCTCCTCCTGCCTCCTCCTCCTCCTCCTGCCTGATTGCAGTTCTGTCCTGGCGCCAGATGTTGGCGCCTCGCGAGGGCACGGCAACCTCGGGCCTGGCGGGGTTCTGGGACGTGGTCCTTGCTGGTCGCGAGCCGCGCCCACCGACTCGTCTGAGGTAGTGTCTTCAATCCACCTCTACCGCAAAACGAAGTCGAAACGAAAACGGCCCACGAAATCGCCAAAACACCGTTTAGGTCCAGCCCTGCTGTGGGGAGGGGGAAGGAGGGAGGGGGCCGGAGGCCGGCGACGATCCGCGAAGCAGTACATTATGTAAAAGCAGCTAATTAGCTGCTTATCACACCGACCCTCCTCGTCACCATTCCTCCTCGCTCACGCACTCTCCTCCTCCTCCTCCTCCTCCTCCTCCTCCTCACTCCCTCCGCCTCCTCCTCCTCTCCTCCTCCTCCTCTCCTCCTCCTCCTCCTCCTCCTCCTCCTCCTCCTCTCTATCTCCTCCTCCTCCTCCTCCTCCTCCTCCTGCTCCGCGTCTCCTACGTCATCCTTTCTGAATTCACCGTCTTCCTGCCTCCTCCTTCTCCTCCTCCTCCTCCTCCTCCTCCTCCTCCTCCTCTACATCATCCTTTCTGAGTTCACCGTCTTCCTGCCGCCCTGGCACCTGTGCCGCTGGGTGCCCTCGTGCCGTCCACAGGAAACAAGCGGGTTGGCTGCCCGATCGTCACCACAGCCCGACGGGGCTGTGGGAAAGACTCTTGCCCACCGGTTGGCCAGCCACGTTAGATGTGGGCCCGCCGTACCACTGCTGAGAGGCTCGATGGGGCTACTCGAAGGGGTCCCCCGACGGGGGGTGGCGTGGGGACTAAAGTCCTCGGGCAGTGGGGTCTCCGCTGCTTGAGGCCGGCGGCGAAGTGGGGGTGGTGCCGGTAGCCGCGTCTCGGGGTGGCATCTCGAGGCACCTCGCAACGGCGGAGCAAATGTGACGCTTGCGGCGTGTCTGTCCTGCCATTCGTGTTGCGAGGTCCGACTGCATGTGAATTCGTGCGGGCACCTTGGGCACCTTCCATCGGGTTGTCGTCTAGGTTTTCTGTCCGGACATACATCTTGCTGTCTCCCTCCTCCCTCCTCCTCGGACTCATCCATTCTTACTCCCCGGTCTCTCGATCCTCATCCCTCATCCGTTCTTGTGGATACGGGCACGGGCGCCGGCCGCGTCTTGAACAGCGGGGTGCTGCAGGGTGGGGCTGAAGCTCCCAGAAAAGCTCCCAGAAAAATGCTCGCGGGTGAAACACTGCGACGCCACAGAGCATCTACCAGAAATAGGAAAAGAATAACACAACGTGGCCAGCTCGCTCATCTGTGGGTGGTCGGAAAACTGTGGGCCGAATGGAAGCCCGAATCAGAGAACCACCAACAAAAACTTGAACAAAAAATATGCGGTATGCCGCGTGGAGACGGAAACCAGAAACGGAAAGATGGTAGCAGGAGTCGGAGAGATGTTATCCAGACTCAGAACTGTGCTGTATTGCGAATGGCGGTCGCCGGAGTCGGAAGCATAGAAGCTGGAGTCGGACGCTGGCGTTCACCTCTCGGATTCTGGCTTCTATCTCTCGAAGTAAAAAAAGAATCGGAGAGGTGAATGCTGGAGTCGGAAGGATGAGAAAAGGCGTCAGAGAGATATGAGCCAAAGTCTACAGTCGAAACATTACACGAATTGGCGGGCACTAGTCAGAGATAGGAGCCAGAATCGGAGAGATAGATCGACGGGAACTGGAAAGCAGGAGTCCGAGAAACAAGAGCCACAATCGGTGACGTGGAGATGGGCCGGAGTCGAAGAGACGGGATCTGGAACTGGGTACAGAAATCGGATCTGAAAAGATGGGAACCAAGGTCGGAAACTTGGGAGAAGGAGTCGGAGAAATAAGACAGAATCGTGGCAATGGATGCAGGAGTCGGACAGACCGAGTCTGGAGTCGGGAAACTTGTAGAAGGAGGGCGTCGCCTGCGCAGTTTGGTCGGAAGATTATGGTGTCGTTGCTCTCCGCTGTCGACGCGGCACCACTAGAAAGAATAGCAGGCAAACATGTTTTCCAGACCATGCCATGCGTGAGCGTCGTCGAGTTTAAGAAGTACGTATACTGAAAATGTATAATTAACATTTCCCGCTGGGTCGCGCTCTCGTCCGTCCTTGTGCTGGGACTGATCTGCCAACCGTTCATATAATAATCATCATCAGCATAATCAGCATCGTCATCATCATCATTACCCTCATCATCAGCATCATCACTATCATCACAATGAACATCACCATCATCATCACCATCACCATCATCGTCAACATCCCCCTCCTAAGCCGAATACGAGAATCATCATCATCATCATCATCATCATCATCATCCTCATTATCAAGGTCATCCTCGATGTCACCCTCATCGTAGTATTCATAATCATCATCGTTACCATCAACATCGCCATCAAAATCCTCATTATCACCGCAGCATCATTATCATAATCATCCTCACCATCGTCAGCGCCAGCGCCGACAAAATCAGCATCATCATCATCATCAGCATGCTCATTATCACCGTCATCACGATCATCAATTTCCTCAATATCATCATGATCACCACTACCTGAATCACCCCGTTATCATCGTCAACATCATCACCATCATCTTTATAACATCATCGCCATACTCACCATCACGACCATCATCTTAGGCATCAACCTCACCATAGCCTCATCAGCAGCAAGCGTCGTTTGTAAGCATTGTCAAATCAGTTGGCTGCGTTGCGGTACATTGCTGACAACGACCACCTCAATAGATGATCCTTACGTCTAGTCTCTATCCGCCACCGTGCCTCGAGGCACGAAGTGGAGTTCTGCTCTCTGCACTCTGGACCGAGGATGTTTGTATTCGAAGGGCTAGGACTCCAAAATTTCCTGGGCGTTCCCGCGCGCTCCTGGGCTGCTTTTCCAGAGGCCAAGGAGGCCCCAATACTCTCCAAGAGGGCCACAGAAAGCGCCCAAGAGGGTCCAAGAGGCACCCAAGACAGCCCAAGAGCGCTCCAAGACGGCCCACGAGGCCCCAGAGAAGCCCAACGAGCGCTCCACGAGGACCTCCACGAGGGCCCAAAGAGGTACAAATTACTGATGTTCCTTGTGCTGTTCGATGTGGTTCGCGCTCTCGCGTCTTCCGGCTCCCGACGCTCCAAGATGGCACCACAGGCCCCAAAGACCATCCAAAGACAGCCCAAGAGGGCCTCAAGAGGGTCCAAAGACGGTCCAAGAGGGCCCCAAAACGGCCCAAGAGGCGCCCAACATCGCCCAAAAGTGCCCCAAGACGGCCCCAGGAGGGGGAACACGAAGCGATAATTCGAGCCTTTCGCCCAAAGAGGCCCCAGGAGGTCTCGAGAGACCCCCAAGAAAGCCCAAGAGGCCCCCTAGAGGGCCCTAGAGGCCCCCAGGAGGCCCAAACATAGGCCTCAAGAGGCCCCCACACGCCCCCCAAGGCCTCAACACTGCCTCCAAAGGGGCCATCGAGAGGCCTTCCACGATATCCAAGCGAACATCCAAGAGGCCTCTAACCCACAAGCGGGAGGAATGGGAGGCAGCAGGAACAAGAAAACGGAAGCGAAAACGCAGGAAAGACAAGACGCACCGTTGGACAAGATGGCAAACAGCGCTAAACACTTCGAGCCCATAGCGACGAACTATGAAAGAATGATGCGGTGGATTCGCGCTCTCAGCCTGTCGTGCACCCGACCTACAAAACGATAGCAAAACAGAAGTGCCCCAACGAATATAATAACAGCAACAAACGAAACAACACACGGAGGCTTACAGGGAAGATCTAGATCACCATAATCATTCTCATCACCGTCATCTGCAATAGCATCGCCCCCATCACCATCATCAGCATCAGCATCGTCATCATCATCGACATCACCACCACCACCACATCAACATTATCACCATCAACAACAATAGTATAATCATCAACATCTTCAACATCCTCAACATCATCAGCCATCAGCATCATAATCCACATCAGTATCATCACTGTCATCACCATCATCAGCAGCATCCGCATCAACATCGCTACCTTTATCAATATAATCGAAATGATCCTCATCACAACCCTCAGCATCGACAACACCATAATCATCATCATCATCATCCTCGTCATTATCATCATCACCACCACCGCCACAATCATCATCATCATCATATCATCAACATCGTGACCATCACCCTCCTCGTCCTAATACATCACCGTAAAGACCATCAACGCCGCCATCATCATCAGCATCATCATGATCACCGTCATCATCGCCATCAGCAGCATTAGCATCATCATCATCATCTTGATCATCAACATCATCATCATCACCATCATCGTCATCATCATCATCATCATCATCATAATAATAATAATAATAATCCGTTCCTTCCTCCTCCTCGTAAACCTCCTCTTCCTCCTCCCCTCGTCCTCCTCACTTTGCCCTTTCTCTTACCCCTTTTCTGTGTCTCTCCTCCTCCTCCTCTCCCGTCCTCCCCCTCCTACTCCTCCTCCTTCCCCTCCTCAACCTGCTCCACCTGCTCCTCCTCCTCCTCCTCCTCCTCCTCCTCCTCCACCTCCTCCACCTGCTCCTGCGAGCGGCGAGGCACGGTCGCGGCCGCGCTTGCGCCCGCTCTGTCGCCGACGAGCGGCGCGACGAACCGGTGGTGCAAGGTCAGAGAGCTGTGTGCACACGAACTCCGAAGGTCCGCGCGCGCCTCCTGGAGCGGCGCTGGACCCCGCCCCCACGCCGCGTGCCAGGGGCGGGGGGGGCGACCGACGCTCCAAGAGATTCGCGCGGAGCTCCGAGCGCTCCCTCCCTCGAAAAGGGGGTTGGCGGCGCGCGCAAAAAGGGGGCTCTTCGAGGGAGGCTGCCTCGCAGGAGGAGGCTGCCTCGCAGGAGGAGGCTGCTCCTCAGGAGGGGCTGGCCTTGCATCTGCGAGGTGCGAGGCGCGGCCGAGGGGGGGGAGGCCAAGGGAGACGAGGCGGAGCAGCCGCGGGGAGCAGCAGAACGAGGGGGGGCGGCGGGAGGGAGCAGCCGAGCAGCAGCGGAGCGGGCGGCGCGCCGCGTCCTCGCCGCGCGGCGGCCGCAACGGCGTGCGCACCGCGCTGGGGGGGGGGGGGCGGGCGGGCGTGGCAGGCTCCCTCTCCTCGTCCGCAACAGCGACGCGTCGTCGTCGTCGTCGTCGTCGTCGTCGTCGTCGTCGTCGTCGTCGTCGTCGTCGTCGGGGATTCCACCACCACCATGCAGGGGCCACCAAGGGGAGAAACCAGGGAGGTCCCCCTGGTGGTGTGGTCACCCCCTCTCGCTCGACACACACTCACCAGCTCCAGCCCAGGTGCCAGACGGGCATCGTGGACCTCCTCGCCGAAAATGGCCCCCACTGGTGATGGTTGCGTCTCTTTCCCTCCCCCCGGCCGGGACCTGTCTCAGGTCAGGTGCAAGCTTGAACAGATGCGACGTCATGGGCAAAATACGGGTGAAATGCTTGTCTCGAGGCTGTGGCGTTCCGCGGCTGGCCTCTGGCAGTCTGTCCTGCGCAGCGACAGACAGGGAGACTAGGAACGAAAAGCAAACTGACGACGGCGAGCTCGCAGGCGGGAGGCCGGGGAAAATCGGGCCGGCATGGAATTGGGATTCCCGACGTCAGGCGGTTCCGGAGGCGGCAAACGCAGAGCGTTCCGCAAAGCCCTTCGAGGGTTGTCTGGAACGCCTCCTAGGGAGGGTCGAGGAGTGTCAATGTCGAGGAGGGTCGAGGACCGTAGGGCGAGGAGGCTCGAGGGTCGCGGAGGAGGAAGAGGAGGAGGCGGAGGAGGAGGAGGGAGGAGGATGAGAAGGATTAGGAAGAGGAGGAGGAGGAGGAGGAGGAGGAGGAGGAAAAGGATTGGGACCCACTGGAAAACCTTATCCCAGTCATATGCCTGCCTGTAGGTGCCCACGGGGGCCGGGCACGCGGCATCGGGTCTGATTCGCCAGAAGGCTGCCTTGGCACCAGGGCCAAGCCTGCGGCAACACGCCTAGCCCCTCCCTCGGGCGTACCCCTCCTTGCCTCCCCTCCCCCCCTTTTTGTCCCTTCCTTCCTGCTGCGCCCACCTCCCTCCCTCCCTCCCTTTTCTTGCGCAGGCTGCTGAGCGATCCAGGCGTTCGTAGCGTCAGCGTGTGCGGCAGCCTGACGCCCTCTTTACCCACGCGGGTGTAAGCGCCTCTGGGGTGCCGCGCGAAGCAAGGCCGGGCGGACCCACGGCGAAACGGGCTCCAGGATAAGGTTGAGAACGCCAGGGCCGACACCAAGCGCCAGGCGCCTGCGGGGTGGGTCACAAAAGCTCCGACATAAGAGGCACCCACCCATCAGGAGACAAACAGCCCAAGGAAATATACAAGGATGTGGTCATGCAGCCAAGCCAAGACAACGACCTGGAACAGTGCGGAAAGCAGGGCCCAGAGAAACATACGGAGGGCCTGCAGGGGCCTGAAAGTGGACCGAGGGGCCCCAAGGAAATCCAGGTCGTCGTCCAGGAAGCGATGGATCAGTCCCAGCGCCTCCTGCAGCGAACGCCGCTCGGCCGCGGCGAAGGGGAAGATAACGAAAACCACAGGATGGTGCGAAGGCCAGGGGCGCGACTGCTCGTGGGTGAGGCCCGCCACGGGGTGGCGCTCGGATCCACTTTCGCCACCGAGCGGGCCTTCACCCGATTCGCCCCCATGCCAGAACGAGGAGCTCGGATGCCAGAAGGATGATGAAAACAAACGAAGGAGCTAGGCTGCCTTGGTCTGTGGGAACCCGCCTCAAAGTGCCGCTCTACAGCCACTCTCGCCACCCAGACGCCCCCCCCCCCCCCCCCACACCCAATTAGCCTCACCTGGCCCGAAGAGCTCAGAGGCCGAGAACGACGGATGGGACACGACCACGGAACCTCCTCAACAACATAACCGGTCTCTGGTCCCCAAGGGGGGTTGAGGTTGTCCTTCGCGGACAGGGAGTGGCAAGGGCCGCCAGCGGTCCGTTGCAAGCGACGTGGCCGAAATGGCCTCTGCACACACATGAACGTCGGACCGACCACGATCCTCGCGGTCTCGGGGGAACGCGAATTGGGGCCCCTCCTCTGCCGCGGCTGAAATCTAACTCACAGTGGACAGACCGAGCTGCGAGGGCCTCACCACTGCCTACAACTTCATCTGGAATCTGCTGGTGCCGTACTCGTCTGTGGCGAACAGGCTCTCGATGCTCTGGCACCAATGCAACTGCCACAGCCAGTCTGGCCGCTGGCGCCACCAATATCGTAGGTACACCCATTGAGGACGCACCAAAGATCAAGAGAAAAAGACAGCCAAATTCACGACTGCCCTCCATCACTTGGTCACACAGACGTGCTGGCCGCTGTGCTCCGCCCCATGGGGCCGCACCAGATCTGAGGCAGGCTCGCCCCCTTGTCTGGCGGCGTTGGCTCCGAGCAAGTTGGGTCGACCTCGGAGTATCTTCCGTTCAGCCTCCGAGAGTGGCGACGGCGCCGCCGTGCGCCTCAATGGCGGTAGACTGGGTGCCGCAACAATTCCAGCCACACTTCCCTCAACCGTTGCCGCCAATAGAATATCCGTTTCGCCATTGCCAGTTGTCCAGCCAACACTCTTGTCATCCTGATCCAATTCCAGCGCGCCACGCACCCGTGGCATGGCCAAGCCCATGGACAGGTGGCGCACCCAACTGAGGAAATCTCCTGGATATGACCCTCGGTGGAATAGCACGTGAAACTCATCGGCGCTACCATCGCCGGTCCGCACGAGGTTCGAGACAGGACATGCTACGTCAACCGGAGCTGTTGGTTGTGTTGGTTGTGGTGGTGGTTGTTGGGGGGGGGGGGGGGGGGGGGCTGAAATGGTGGCCCTCGTCCACCACAGTGCTGCCCACCTCCAACTCCATCTTCGAGCGCACCATGCCTTGCGCTCTGACAAACTTTGAGACTATGGTACCCTCTGTGAGCATGGCCCCTCTCAATGGCAAGATCGCCCTGCGGTCGTAGTAGGGCCTCTTCCTCGTCTAGTAGTGTAATGTGTTCTTCAAGACAAATCGCACAACGATTTCCAACCTTCCGCAAATTCTTTATTAGCAATGAACGACTGCCGGAGATAATCCCACATGCTCAACACAGGTTGCCCCATGCCGCCCTCTGCGCTAAATCAATTGGATTGCGTCCAAACTGACGTCGCCTCCATGCGACAACTGCGGCAACCGTCGCGCTGCACGTGTAGCAGATATACTTCACCTGGCTGACGTCAGCCTGGTCGCAAGGGAGCGCGGTCCAATTCGATGCTGCCAGAATCTGAGATGAAGACGGCCAGATTCCAGAGGAAACTCATGTCTCCACACTCGGTTGGCCAGCAGCTTGAAGGAATGCGGCGAATCTCTTGCAAAATCAAACCAGCGCTTCAGCGCCCAGTCCTCCCCTCCGATCCATCGAAAGTCGCCCATGATCATAGACGCCCACGCACCCCTCTGAGATGCCAGCACATCGACCAGGAAAAGCAATGCCAAAAGGCGGTGGAAAATAACGACCCAAAAATAAAAGGCGGCGCCTCCTGACAATGCGTTCGATCTCCACCCTTTTGGCCACAGCAAGCACCTCTGCGTCCGCGGTGTAGGTGCCCGTGTCAGAATGGTGTTGTTTGCGGACTGCCGCGCGATATGATCTGATGCTGAACCGGCTGCAGTTCATGCCATACTTCCGTCAAGTATCACAGGTGGACGTTGTCCAGGGCATCGTAGTGGTTGGCCTTAGCCGCTGTAAGATGCCTGTGCAGTCTGGTCGTCGTCCTTCTGGTCGGGTCTAGCGCCGTCTTCTGTTCGGCCGCAGCCATTGCCACCCTCCGCCCAGGAGCAGCATCCGCGCCTATCATAGAGCCAAGATATTGGTAGTCTCGTACCAGATGCGCCTCTACATTCCGCTCGGGGGCGACCAGCTCGGCGTTGGAAGAGTCCTGAAGCCTCATCCGAAGTGCCCGCGCCCCGTCTCCAGCAGGTATGGGCATAACGCTGCTCTTGTGGTGCTGATAGCCCACCGTGAAAACATGCGTAATCATATGTTTGTGCACGCAATCAATCGCAACACCTGCCGTTTTTATCGCATCCGATGCATTTCGGGGCGACATCACGCACATGCCATCTCCAACAAAGGACGCATCAAACAAGGCTGATACTGGCAGGCCTGCTGAGAAGACGGCCTCGTCGTTTGGCACTGATAGGTCCATGGGTATTTCGCATTCCCTCAGCTCCTCCTGGATGGCGGCCAACGGTTTGGCGGACGAATCAATGAAGATCGCGTCTGCGAGCGGGCTTCCTGGGCGTGGCCCTCGCCTCGAACGGGCAACGTCCTGGCAACCTCCGTGGGCAACCCCAAAGTGTGCATCCCGATGCCCCTCCACCGGGGGCGCTAGCAGTTGCGGCTGGCCCCCCAGATGCGCTGGCGCCCCAGGGCGCTGCAGAATCACAACGGGAAGCGGCGTCAACGCCAACGGTATGTCGTGATTATGTAGAATGAAGCCCCGATCTCCTTCGTCGTTTCGGGTCGGTAGAACTAGAGAACTGATAGTCGAGTGAAAGGCTGCCTTGAGGTCGATGACGTATAAGATGGCCGTTTTACCTTGCATGTAAACAAACTGAATGGAGGACGTCATCATGTGTAACAACTGAACTGGCCCATGCCTGGAGCGTCCTCCACACTGTGCGTCGCGTGACATCAGGTGCAGGTACTGCGCCATCTGATCGCGTAGAAGTCGATGCCAAGATGCTCATCGTGCCGTTTAACATGATGGACCTGTAATTGTCGAGCTGCGACGGTGTACCCTTGCCCATGAAGAGGGGGAACACGATGCCATGTTTCCAGGACAATGCGTCTTGCTGGTGCATGCTTGTCCTCACGAAGATTGGTGAACACCGTCGCGCGATTGCTGTGGGGTGTGCCGTAGGTCGCTTGTGATCTGATTACGGCCTGGGGCGTTCCTCCTCTTGGCTCCCCTGAAATGCCGTCCAACTCGAAACGGCCCAGGTACCAGCTCAACCTTGAGCGCGACTGCATCAGCTCGTGGTGAAGGCGCTTGGCGCACAGACTTTGCA